GGTATCCCATCATAGATTTTATCTCATTCAACAGTTGGTAGAAGGCTAATAAAAGGCTGGGAGATGACTAGCAACTAAAGCAGCACGCTCACACAGAGAAAAAATCACTAATTCACACCTTCACTATGTGACAAGAGTATGCATATAAGATTCCCGGATATCAGGCTAAAGAAATTTCAGCTTAGCAGTAAAAGCTTAAAGCAAAATGTACAGTTTGCTTTGAATTTTTTTAAAACTCAAAATCGTGGTATTACGGGATCATAAAGATTACTCATTTTCTAATCTTTTTTTCCTAGGAATTTATCAAAGAGCTGCTAACTCGGATAAGAGGAATGAGAAAACTCAGTCCCCCTCAAAAGAAGAGTATATAAATAACTCGAAGTAGTAGCACTCTGTAAAAGACATGGCAAGGGAAATGGGACTTTGAATACAAGACCTTTATTAAAATACCTGTCTTTCTCCACAACTTTTTTGATTTCATTCAGTTTTGACTCAAGGAATTTCTTTTGTGTGTTTTAAGGGTTCTTTTTTAAGTGTCAATTTTTATTTTTATTTTTATTTTTTAAATCGAGAATATCAACATTTTGGATGCTGCTCAACTTTCGCTTGAGGATTACAGAAGCAAGTGAAGAATCCAAGAGTTAGTGATGAAAGGCAGCAAGCCTACGTGGTAAACCAGAAGATCTTGTACATTTACAGAGCTAGGAGACTTCTCCTTGTGACTAGTTGGATAATGTTTTTTAAGTTGGTTGTACATTTAACTCATGGATGTCAAATTTCTTGTGCTTGTCTGTATATAAATTATAAAGTGGATTGTGAATACTGACTGTTTCACATGGATGGAAGGAAAAGTTTGTTACAGTAAATTATTTAAATGGTGGTTATTGCAAATATGCTACCACAACATACCGATTTAGATTACTAAAATGAGTGCTGCCATTTTTCTAAGTACCGTTAAAGCAGCCCAGTGAAAAATTTCTTCATATCTCCTTATTTAGACTGCAGCATATGAGAATTGGGAATTCTAAGGGCTTAATTTGTAGATTTAATGTTATTTTAACTTTGATGCTTTGCCAGATCATTTCCTTTCCACCTCACGGTGTCTTGGAACTGTGCAAACCTATGCTGAAAAAGGGCCTGCAGTCATATCTAGAGAAATGTCCATCACCACTTAAAAGCTGCTTCACAATGGAGGAAAAGGCAGTGCTGCCAAAATGACTTTAAAGCACTGTCTTGCATTTAGTGATGTGGTCTTAATCAAGATTCCTCTCCTGTTCAAGTAGACAAAGGTTATTATAGTCTTTGTTTGTGGCTCTGCTCTGAGAACCTGGGGAGACTTTATAATGTGGATCTCTTGTAAAAGCGAGAACAGAAGAGAGATCCCTGCTCCCTCCTGGAAAATGTCCTATCTGAAATGTTCAATAAGCTACCATATGCTGGTAGGTGACACTAGTCAGGCATTTTATATCAAGGGTGCTCTGAACATATTTTATTTTTCAAAAGAAGTACATGTTTGTGAATTTTATGTATACTGGCAAGCTTTTTTAATGTATTTAATTTTGTAATGTTTACCGATGATTTTATTTACCAGATATTTACTCAAATAAATGGAACAACTTGTGACTTGTTACATGTACACTTTACTGTTGCTGAATAGGTTGGTAAATGGACTTTCTTACCAGAACGAGAAGCCTGGCAGGTGGTAAGTACATGGGAATCCAGCTGCGTAGATCCCAACTGGCTTTTAATGTACAACAAAAGACTCAGCTCAGTATCACCCAGCCAAATTTCTGTGACCTGGTGAATAGCCTTTTGAAAGTCTACAGATGAGGCATGCTTTCCCTGTGCCCTGAAGAATTAAAACGAAGAGAAATCTTGGAAATGTTTTCAGATAAGTACTGCTGCTTCCTTTTTGCCTTCCCCTAGAGGTTAGGTGAGCAGGGCTTACCAGTGGGTGACACGCAGTTCTCTATTGAAAGTCTGGCAGCAGGGCTGTCCACCTTTCTTCTCTTCCATACCTCTCTTAATTTGCCTTAAGGAATTTTAGCAGCCCTGAGAAAAGACTTGGTTGTTTTGCCTTGCAGCAAGTCAAGTTTAAATCTTGTACCTTGGTGAAGCTGCAATTCTACACTGGTTTCTAATGGAGACTTGTAATTTTTATTATTTTTTTTTTTTATGACATGTGAAATGAGCTCTGGGAATTTCAGCAGGGGTGGTTTGTGATTGCTGCTGTTTTTATGTTGCTGTTTCTTGCAGTTGCTGTCAGTGTTATCAATGGGAAGTCTTCAGAAAGAGGCCCATGGTAGATGACCTCTCATCACAAGGAGATTCTCTCCTTGGTCTGTGCTCCTTGTTGAGGATCTGAGGCAGTTACAGCTGTCTACATATTGCAGGTGATATTTAGAAACAACCCCCAGTCAGAACAGAAAGATTAGGGTCATTTCTACATTCAGAGATACAGTGTATGATTCCACTTACAATTTCAAATATGTACATTTTTTTCTTCTAGTGTAATATATCTTGTTGTGTAACGGCAACTATGCCTGTTATCTCTTTTATCCTGTAGCAAAATGACACTCTGTAAATAATTTTTCCTCACCTTACTCAGCTAAAAATGCCCGTATGTGTTGCCTGTTTACATTTTTTGTTGTCTTTTTCTTGCATTGCAGTTGTGGAAAATAGCAGCCTACTTTTTTGAAAGCAGTTGGGGGAGATCAGTGGTAGACTTGGAAACAACAAACACTGGGATAGCCCACACTGTCTTCTGCCATATGTGGATGGGACATTTACTTTTGTGAGAGGCTTCCTCTCCTCCAGCTCTACATGTGTTGCTATCTTACAAGTGTCAGTGACCAAAAACTAAACTATAGTTTGCAGCTGGCATGATTTTACTAGAGAGTTACAGGGTTTCCTTTTCATTGCTTTTTACTGAGCAGAGATGCTCTTGGCTTCAGTGGCTGTGGGGAAGAACCAAGCCATTCACAAAGATTTCTTTGAGATTTATGTCTTTATACTGTGTGGGTGTTCTTGGCTTTGGGAAATATTCAAGGGGCATATCAATAGCACACTGTTGCTGAAACAATGTGAAGTTAAATCTTAGCCGAAACTCTTCACTGCTGTGGCTGGGCCACTTTCCTTATGTGGGCCAAGTCTGCAGTGAGTGCTTCTGTGGGGTTTTAAATGGTATAATGAAAGGAACTGATGTGCCCTGAAATAAATATGTAGCAAAGCTGAGTTTTTTTGCTTTGGCATTGAAATGCCTCTCCAGTAATCAAGGTTGCCTGTGAGAGTGTGTGTTCCTGGGGTATGCCTTGTGGCATAATTAGCCTTTGCATGTTTTACAGCAGGAGCTGACAGTGTGATGATGTCTTCTAGTTGACTTAGAAGGAGAAAGTGCTTGTAATCAGCATGCATCGTGGTGTGACAGGATTCCTTTAGGACATAAGAAATAAGATGAGCCTTCTACTTCCAGTCTTGATTTTTACCCTTTACTGCAATTATTCCTGTGGTGGGTTTTACTCCTGAAGTTTGTGCAGGGATCATCTGGGGGAACACAGAGGATAGAGAGGATCTTAATTTTCTCTATTTTTGGAGAATATGACCAAGAAAGGTGGGAGCAAAATATTTTCTTTCAAATATGTTCTTCTTGTGCACTTTGGTCTCTTGGACACTGTGAGCATTTGAAGAGTCTTTTGCGCTTTTCTCTGGCAATATGTGTGGAAATTGAATTACTTGGCAACTCTGAAGTGAATTTGCTGTATTAAGGCCTTAATGTATATAAGCCTTAATGTAAATATGCTCCAGGGGAAAAAAGCACGAGGGGCCGTATGAACAGTGCACCTGTTGCATGGAAACTGGAAGAGTATACAGGCCTAGTTCTGAACAAAGAGTTGTACTTGAACTCTTGGTGAAGTGCTATAACACAAGGATTAATTGACTCTGCATAGGATTTGCCATCACCAGCATCTTCCACAGATGCTAAACAGGTACTGAATAAATGCATGCAATGATTCTGTCATTTATAAAGGATGTTGAGATTTTGAGGAGCCAGAAAGTAGTTGAAGTACTTGGAAGTCTCAAAAAATCAGTAAGAAATTTGTCCTGTTACATGTTCCGCTAGTAAGAAGACTGACAAGAGTCTTGCATCACTCCAAAAGTAATGCATCCTTTTTATTTCCATAGAAACTATAACAGGTACAAAAAGCACAATAGACAACGATAGAGCAAATTCTCAGCTACACTGTTTTTTCAATGCAGTAACTGCCAGTAGCTATGCATTTTTACCAACAAGAGTCTAAATACCACACTCGTAAATATCTGCCCTAATGGTGATGATCCACAGTCACTGTCTGCACTGCTGAAATGCACCACCCTCCTCTGTTTGGTTTCTATAAACATTCAGTAAACATCAATTAATATCACTAGGTGCAATTTTTCACTCATTGAAGAATTCAGCAGCACATTTTTTGTTTATATGTGCTTCCATGTCAGACACCATTCTGTCAGACTGTCTCTCTGCTGCTGTCTGTTGCATGGCAACAACATGTAATGCAATACTGGTGGAAAGGTTCAACCTCTACTGCCATACCACCAACATCCACCTCTGACGTCATGGGCTGACATAATAAAATAGGAAGCATTAATTTTAGAGCAGCATTTGTATTTCAATTTGGAGAGAAAATGAGGAATATATAATCATTTATTGGAGAAAAGCATAATGAAGAGGAAGGCTTGGAAGATTAAGGAAGGGAAATTTGTGAGTAGATAGAAATGGACTGATTTGGTAGAGAGAGTGAAAAGCACTGAGCCTGATACTGTATGGATAAATGGTATCATCATTTGTTGGTATCCTCAAGTTGAAATTGGATGCTTTTATAAATAAGTTCTTCTTCAGTTCAATTGAGATGGTTGTATAGTAACTGTTGAGTCAGGACTTGAACCACTGATTGAGCACTTGGGGAAAGGACTCAGCCTTGGGAGCACAGATGAAGGCAATTCAGCTGTGTGACCTGAAGGGGTGGAGCCTGGCTGCACCTTTCTTAGACCTCATTTAAGGGCTGACTGCCACTAGGGAAAGGTCTCCAGTTGGAGATCCCTCCTTTATGGAGTCTTTCCTGCAAGCCTATTTCTTTGGAGAAGGGTGAGTGTTTTTCCTTTTCCTTTGTAACACTGTTCAATCTGTGCTAGTTTCATTGTTGTTATGCTCCTGTATTGCCCTTCTGCCATGATTGTAACAATGGTCAAAGACCTTAAAACTCTAGACGTTTCCTTCAAATATTTTCCAGAATTGTGTTCTCTTTCCTTTTTCTTGATGGTAACAGGTGCAGGTGTGTAATTAATGCTGCAATCAAAAGGTAGAGACAAATTGTAGCAAAGAAAATGTGCTTAGAAAGCACCTAGATTTGCAGAATCTTTTTGTCACTGGTGAACTCTGCTATCAGTATAAATACAGAGTGTTTATAAAGTTTTGATGTTGCTAGTTATAACCTTACCTACTGTTGTTGGGATATTTTTTTTTCTGCTTAATCTTTTTGGTATAGTGATAAAATTTGCTCAGGTATTAACTTATGCTTCTTACAGGCTTTTCTGTCTTCCAACAGAAACTGAAAATTTCTCTTTAAAATGAAAGAAACTAAGCTTTTAAAATATGTATTTAAGACTGAAAGTAACTTTAGAAGTGCAGGTAACAGACTTTATTTGGTAGTACCTGGAAAAACCTTCTGTGAGTGGAGTGTGATGATGTATTGCCTTAACAATGGAAATGCAAAGGATCCCATGTCTTCTGGTTTGACTGCCATACTAAACCAGAAGTGGAGTTGGACCTATCCTGTACTAGAGTGAGCCCTCAAGCAGTTTCTTGCCTTGTTCTTGCAACTAATGATCTTCAATGTACTGCATGTCTTCTCTTGTTTCTGTAGCCTTAAATCCAAGCCTACCTAAACAATAGTTACTAGATCAGTGTTAGCACACATCACCTCCAGTACTGTCATGATGCATTTCTTTATAACCTGCATCAATATTCCCTATTCCTTCAAGTTTAGTAGCTTATTTCTCCTAAGTACCTTTTACTATTCAGTGAAAGTGGGAAATGTGTGATCTGATGCTATTTTTGCCATGGAGGCTGTGCTGCCTGTGCCGATCAATCTGAAAGCCTTGAAAGGCTGCTGTAAATTTAAGTGTCTTCTGAATTATAGTCGCATGCTAATGAAACATATTCACTTTCTCCCTTATTTCTTTATGTCACTTTCCCAATTAAGTTTTCAGTGTGTAAATGTAACTCAGCCACATACAGTAAGGAGAGAATAACGGTCTTGGAGCTGTTTGAGTGATTTCTTGTACATTCTGGGGAAAAAAAGAAGATTATTGAGGCTTGTAGAGTTTTCTTCCCCCAATATCTGGGAGATGCTCTAGTACCAGCTGGATGAGGCCACAGAAATGGTCCTGTTTGGAAGCCTGAGGATGAAGCAGAACATAGAAACCAAAAAGCATGAAACACAAAAGACAAGAAATAACCAGTGGCAGGTGCACAAACTTGCCAAGTGTTGACTGTCTTTGTACCCTTTGGAGAAAAGCTGTTCATTCCTCCTGAGCTTAACACTTTGAAAGAAGATAAATGTCCTCCCACCATACTCCATTGAACTTGTGCTGGGTCCAGGCAGCAGGCTCAGCAGAGTGCTGAATGCAAATGCTTGGGGTGTAATGCAGATAGAAGTACACTTCCGTAATCAAATCCTAGCTAATCTGCTCAACTCTGAATGCAATGCTTGGCCTGCTAATAAGGCCGTGTGTCAGGCAGAGCACTGGCAGGCTGTATCACCCTCTTCCACCCTGCAGTGGTTGTGGTGCGTGCAGTCTCTGCTGTCCCAACCAGTAAGAAATACTACAGCTTTTCAGCCTTGATATTAGGAAAAAAGAAATAAGTCCTTCATCTGTGAGGGTCAAGAGTTTGTTGCCAACTCAGGTGTTTTGATATGTGAATCTAAAAACCATGTCTCTTGAACACAGATTTAGCTGTACTTATGCTATTATGAACTGACCCGATTTTGATCCAGATTCTGGATTTTGAGAGGAAATAAAGATGTTTAATGTTCTTTTGTCTAGACTTGTACAATTTTTGCCTCCTACACTCCAGCTGTCCTTTTAATACAGCTTTCTCAGTCATCAGAAAGGCTTTAATGTATTACTTTGGAGAATTTTTTCTGGTACTGGGCTAGACTTAAATCAAGCACCAAATAGTCATATGTTGGAAAAAGGCTATGCACACTATAACTTATCGTTAAGAGTCTCCTCTTTATCAAAAGTGTTTCTGTTTCCATATCAACAGTGTACCTCAGTAGTGCATGTTATATAATGTCCTTGGGATTTTAATGGTCTACCTCAAATGCCTGCTCTCTTTCTTGTTCTCCCATGTGCCTTAGTCAAGTGCTACCACTTAGCATATTGTATTGATTATTTTTTTGTCTGTGTAGCTGCACATTGAGCTCACCACTTAATCACTCCAAAGCTAAATTTTCTATCCTTGTTACAAGGGCAAAGTGTTTAAAAATGTCAGCTCATGAAATATAAGCAAGAGTTTTACTGCTAGGGTTGAGTGAAGTGATAATTGTTTATCATTTTCCCTCTGGTTACCTCTCTAATCTGAAAATCTGAGTGCTTTCTGAAATTAGTATGACTTTTTCAGCTTGATCTTGTTAGATGCTTCCTTCTTTTAATACTTTATTTCTTATAGCTTTTATTTTTTGGCTACAGTTGGTTCTGATCTAAATGTTTTCCCTCAGAATGCTTTCTGTTGTTCTCGTAACTTTTGCAGCAGTAATTAAAGTGTTTCAAAATTCTATCACCTCTGCGTAACAGTAAAGTTAACTAGAGAAGGACTTAAGAGAGGTCAAATAAGCCAGTCAATCCTATGCTATTCCATTGTTTTCTTTGTTTAAGAAAGCTAGGCTATCATGCCCAGCCACAGCTATGAGTTTCAGATCTTTTCTTTTCTACAAAACCAAAATCTTCCATAGGAGTATGGGTTCATTTATTTAGTCAGGAAACATGTGAAAAAACAGTGAGTTGGTTCAGAATCTAAGATTAGGCTCGTGTATGAGGCTGGCTTTTAGAAAAAAATAATGTTAAGAGGCCAGAAACTTTCTATCTGACCACTGACTCTTGCTAATTAGAGATTGAGAGCAGCTGTCAATTAGGCATTGGGACTGGGAGCCTAGATCACATAGCAGGTACAACACAGAAATATGCTCAACTTCCACTTCTTGGAAAGTTTATTCCCTGTTTGAACCTTACCCATCTCAAATGCTCAAAAAATCATGAGTTAAGTGAGTGAGACACTCTGAGGTACTGAGTCTTTTATAATGTATGTTGATTTGTCATTGTTTCTTGACATGCTTCCTCAGGGGCTGCTTGTAAACCTTTTGGTCTGCAGATGAGGGCCTGAAGCTTCCTTTTAAGTGAGGACCAAGACTTCCCTGTCTCCAGCAATTTCAGGAACAGGAATCCTAGTAAGGATGTTGTGCTTGTGATAATAACATTCAGGTTGGGAGCAATCAAGAAAGCACATCTATAGTTAAAGGTGCCCTTCTTTGTGCACTCCACATAGCCCGTGGAAGTTTCCCCTGCACTGGTATGACTCCAAGTCTGCATGAGCATGAAAACTCATGAGGGAGGCATGCTAGATAATATGGGAATATGCTGGCATTGGGTGAGTTTAGAGTTGATGTAGTTTACTCTATACCCCGTTAAATGCAAGCTACTGGTTTAATTCGCTAGATAGTATCTGTTCTTTAAGTTTGATTAGTGATTGATGGCATTCATATTTCACTTCTGTGCATTGCTGGACTCCATTGGGACTTTGGACAAAATGATTCTTGGGTGGATGCTGGAAACAAGCAGCTTGGTTTTTTTTGTTTTTTGTTTTGTTTTTAAGATATAAATTATTGAAGCAACCTAGTTTGAACAATGCGTTTAGATCAAAAGTGTGTTGCAGTGGAGCCTAGCTAATGCCCCAACCAACTATACTTCCAAATTTTGCCTTTTGGGGACAGGAAAAAGCTGTCAAATGCTGGCCTGTCTGTTGTTAAGAGTCATTGCAAGCAAACAACTCTCATAATAATCATACCACATAAATCAGTGGTAGCTGACAGTTAGAATCTTGGCAGGAGATTTCACAGAATCACCCGGGTTGGAAGGGACCTCAAGGATCATGTAGTTCCAACCCCCCTGCCTAGCAGGGCCACCAAACATACACATTCAGATCAGGTTGCCCGGGACCCCGTCCATCCTGGCCTTGATTTCAGAGCCACAGGAAAGAATTTGGGAGATGGATCCACACATCTGTAGGCTGAGGGAGTAAACTAAGATGACAACACATCATGGTAACCTTTTTCTGCAAGTGGCAGGTGGGTGCATAGTTCAGTTAGCCATGTGTTTTTCCATACATGCATACTTTTCCCTTTAGTCATGCAAAATCCTTCTCTCTCTGCTTTAAGGAATGCCACATTTAGACAAGGAAAAATAATCACAGTTGTTCATAGTTTGACTGGGCCTGTGTGCTGCAGAAGGATGAAATAGGCAACCAGGGGTTGCCTTCTGTTCAGAGCTTCGATTATGGATTATCTTATAGAACATGTGCGTGACTGCCCCAAGAGCAGTTTGAAATGAGCAATGCCTTGTTTTCCTGCTGATTAGAATTCCCTCTCAAATAGCACTGAAAGGGCTCCAAGGGCCCAGATGAAAAATATGGAACCTCGTGCACTGCGTGCAGCAATGCCAGTGGGTCCCAGGGTCCCAAACCCAGACAAGGTTCTGCTTCTTGGAGGGCTGTGCCATTGGTGCTTGACCAGCAGCCATGTCAGGATGAGGCCCAGCACTGCACCTCCTGCTGAGGAGGTCATCATGGTGGAAGGAATGAAGGTTTTGTGTGCAGCACAAGCTGTTGCCTGGAGGGAACTGTGAGCATTACCCCTCACACACTCTCTTGCATCCAATATTAGGCCATGTTGTCTAAACAGATTGTGGTGATTCTCTTTGGAGAGGAAAAGAGAAGCCTTGAGCTCAACCCCCAGCACCCTTCACAGGCTCAGGCAGCAAGGCTTGTCAGGACAGCAGTTTCCTGCACACAATTCTGGAAGTATCTAA